TTTTTTTTGTAGAGACGGAGTCTTGCCATGTTGCCCAGGCCCGTCTCAACTCTAGGGTTCAAGATATCTTTCCGCCTTGGCCTCTCAAAGTGGCGTGAGCCGCTGCATCCAGCCTGGTTTTTTTTGGGTTTTTGTTTTGTTTTGTTTTTTTTTTGGTCTTTTTTTGTGGGGGGGGGGGTTTGTTTGTTTTGAGATAGAGTCTCGTTCTGTCGCCCAGGCTGGAGTACAGTGGCACGATCACGCCTCCCAGGTTCAAGCGATTCTCTTGCCTCAGCCTCCCAAGTAGCTGGGATTACAGGCGCCTGCCACAAGGCCTAGCTAATTTGTGTACTTTTAGTAGAGACGGGTTTCGCCATGTTGGCCAGGCTGGTCTTGAACTCCTGACCTCAAGTGATCTGCCCGCCTTGGCCTCCCAAAGTGCTGGGATTACAGGCATGGGCCACCACGCCCAGCCCGGGCCTGTGTTTTTAAAAGACCTCAGACTGGCCGGGCGTGGTGGCTTATGCCTATAATCCTACCACTTTGGGAGGCTGAGGCGGGCGAATCACCAGGTCAAGAGATCCAGACCATTCTGGCCAACATCGTGAAACCCCTTCTCTACTAAAAGTACAAAAATTAGCCGGGCGTGTTTGCGAGCATCTGTAGTCCCAGCTACTCTGGAGGCTGAGGCAGGAGAATTGCTTGAACCCGGGAGGTGGAGGTTGCAGTAAGCCGAGATCGTGCCACTGTACTCCAGCCTGGCGACAGAGCGAGACTCCATCTCAAAAAAAAAACAGACTGTGTGCCAGGTGGGGATGCATCAGCTGGAAGGTCTTCCCCTTCTCCTGGGCCTCCAGGTCCAGGTGAGTAAAATGTAAGGGAGTCCTAGAGAAACTCACTGACCCCTATTCTCCCCACAGTACCAAGGCTCTGGTGGTTCTTTGAAGGGCCCAGGGCATCCCTGTGTTCCCGTAGGGCCTGTCTGTGCCTTGCCCCTCAGATCCTGTGGTAGTGGAGAAGATTTATTTGTCTCTGCACCCCTTGCTGTCCAGACCCACTTTCAAATGAGTTGAATTGATACATAATAATTGTACACATAGAGAGAGTACAGCTGACATTTGGATACATGCATACACTTTGTTTCTCCCTCTCTTTCCGCTCCCCTGGTCTCCAGCCCTGGCCCTTTCTGTGGAGTCCTGGGGGAGGAGGTAACTCTTCCCTTCCCCTTCCCAGGGGATCCATAGAAATAGTGCCCCCTGTCCCTGGGCATCCGGCTCAGTATGCTGGGAGTCATCCTTGACCTCATGCTGGCCCTCACCTCTACACAATCTTTCAGTTAAGTCCTGACCACTCTGCCTCCCAAACAGGTGGTAACTTAACAGGTGGCAGCTTTGCCCTCCTCTTCCATCTCCAGGGCCTAGGTCACCATCCTCTCACCTGGATGACTGTAACAGCTCTCAATGGTCTCCTGCCTCCACCCTGCCCCCCCCAGGCCACTCTCCATACAGCAGCAAAGTGACCCTCCTAAAATGTCCATTGTGTCATGCCTCTCCTGTGTTTGCACACTCCAAGTGGTTGCCATAAAATCCAAACTCTGCCCTGAACCTGCAGGAGCCGTCCCTACCCATTTCTGCACCTGTTGCCTCCCCTTGATCACCTGCACAGCCATGCCAACCGTGTGGGCTCCCTGAACCCCCCACTTCCCCTTCCACCTGGGGATCTTAGCACATCCTTAGCTGTCCCCACCACTTGGCATCATCTTACCCCTTCTAATGTGGTGGTGCTTCTCTTCCTCCAGGCTCAGTGAGGCCTTTTCTGCCCCCACCAGCACCCCAGTACGCTCTAGCTAGGCCCTGTTTTAGCCACAGCACTTATCACATTATTTCGTACCTGTGTTTTCCTATTTAACGTGTGTCCTCCTCACTAGTGTGTCTGCCTCATAAGGGCAGGAACCATGTCTAGTTTTGTTTTGTTTTGTTTTTTTCCTGAAGACAGCGTCTCGCTCTGTCACCCAGGCTGGAGTGCAGTGGCGAGATCTTGGCTCACTGTAATCTCCGCCTCTGGGGTTCAAGCAATTATTGTGCCTCAGCCTCCCAAGTACCTGGGAATACAGGCGTGTGCCACCACGCCTGGCTAATTTTTGTATTTTTATTAGAGATGGGGTTTAGCCATGTTGGCCAGGCTGGTCTCAAACTCCTGACCTTAACTGATCTGCCCGTCTCAGCCTTCCAAAGTGCTGGGATTACAGGTGTGAACCACTGCACCCGGCCTTGGCTTTGTTTTGTTTTGTTCTGTTTTGTTTTGTTTGTTAAGATGGGGTCTTGCTTTGTCACCCAGGCTGGAGTGCAGTGGCACGATCATGGTTCACGGCAGCCTCAACTTCCCAGGCTCAAGCGATCCTTCCACCTCAACCTCCCGAGTAGCTCAGGGCTACCGGCGCGTGCCACTACAGCCAGCTAATTTTTTTTTTTTTTGTATTTTTGTTAGAGACAAGGTCTCCTTCTGTTGCCCAGGCTGGTCTTGAACTCCTGGGCTCAGGCAGTCCTCCTTCTTTAGCCTCCCAAAGTGCTGGGATTACAGGCGTGAGCCACCGTGCCCAGCATCCATATCTGTTTTGTTTGTTGCTGTATGTACCTCACACAGGGTCTGGCACTCAGTAAATGAATAAATAGATGTTACATTTTAAAATGTGTAAACCAGCTGGGTGCAGCGGCACATACCTTTAATCCCAGCACTTTGGGAGGCGGAGGCGGGTGGATCACTTGAGCCCAGGAGGTAGAGGTTGCAGTGAGCCAAGATAGCGCCACTGCACTGCAGCCTGGGTAAGAGAGCCAGACCCTTTCTAAAAAAAAAAAAAAAAAAAAAAAAAAAGGCCAAGTGCGATGGCTCATGCCTATAATCCTAGCACTTTGGAAGGCCGGGGCAGGTAGATCACCTGAGACCAGGCGTTCAAGACCAGCTTGGCTGACATGGTGAAACCCCATCTCTACTAATAACACAAAAATTAGCCAGGCATGGTGGCACGTGCCTGTAGTCCCAGCTACTCAGGAGGCTGAGGCAGGAGAATCGCTAGAACCCAGGAGGTGGAGTTTGCAGTGAGCCAAGATCACACCACTGCACTCCAGCCTGGGCGACAGAGTGAGGCTGTGTCTCAAAAAATGAATGAGTGAATATCTATAAACCGTTCCTGTTGACAAAGGGCATGGAAAAATAAACAAACAAACAAATAAATTAGCATGAGCCAAGTGCAGCTGAGCTGTCTCTAAGTCACTCTTAGCACAGTGCTGAAAGAAACACTCAACTTCTAGCACTCCACCCACAGTCCCATCTCTCCCTGCTTGATAGTTGTCCCCATGTTCTCAGCCTCATCCTGCGCTCTGGACCCCTCCCCCACCACGTGTAAACCAGCACAGCCTTCCCACCTCTGCCTCGTACTCATTACCTGAGCAGCCGCCTGGAACAAGGGTAGATGCTGAAGCTCCCTGAAGGCAAGGAAATGGGAGGCTGTGAATCTTCACATAGTCCTGTTTCTGCCCCTGACACCTATAGAGTTATGGAGTCCTATGGCCTTGAGGACCCTAGGCAGAAGAGAAGGGAGACATATGCTTTTTTTCATACGTTTCACATCTGTCTTCTCCACTGGTGTGTCCGCCTCACAAGGGCAGGAACCATGTCGGCCCTTTATATCAGCCAGGGGCCGGTGTGAGCCACTGCCCCCGGTCGACATACAGTCTTTCGACTCATATTGAGCATTTTTCAGTTACCCTCCCACTCCCTTGCCAAAAGTCAGAACTCGGAACTTTCTGAAAGGCTTAGAAGAGAAAGAAGGCTAGAGTGGGAAGCCGGGAGCCGTGGTAGGATGTGTCCCTGTCCCGCTGTGTGATTTGTGCAAATCCCTCCCTGTCTCGGCTGCTTCCTCATCTGTATGATGTGTTGGTGGGGGCTGGGGAGAGTAGGAGGTACTCACTGAGGTCCCTTCCAACCTTGACATGCTGTGATCCTGAAGGGGCCCCGTGACTCCCCTATGCCTCTCATCCATCCCAGCTTGGGGGAGAAGCTATAATTGGCTGTCGCACCTCCCCCGACCCTCTGGCCCCTGGAAGGTAGCTTTCCAGTCTGAGGCCAGGATTCCCTTCCAGGCCTGCATTTGGCATATCCAGTAACCCACTTCAGGTGCAGAAGAGGGGGCACACAGCGGGATAAGGAGCTGGGAGCAACCAGGAACCAGGAACCCTGTGTGTGGGTGAGAGATAGGTATGAGGACCTGGGGTCTGTGCTCAAAGTGAGGGACCTGGATGCAGCTTCAGCCTCACTCAGATGGCATCAGGCCCGTGTCTGAGCCTCAGTTTTTTCCTGAATCAAATGAGGGCCATTCAATGAGATGCTCTCTCAGGAGCTTTCTCCTTCCTTCCTTCCTTCCTTCCTTCCTTCCTTCCTTCCTTCCTTCCTTCCTTCCTTCCTTCCTTCCTTCCTTCCTTCCTTCCTTCCTTCCTTCCTTCCTTCCTTCCTTTCTTTCCTTTTCTTCTTTTCTTTTTTTGAGACAGGGCCTTATTCTGTCACCCGGGGTGGAGTGCAGTGGCATGATCTCGGCTCACTGCAAGCTCCGCCTCCTAGGTTCACACCATTCTCCTGCCCTGTCTCTTATACACATCTAGATGTGTATAAGAGACAGCCTCCTGGACTCAGTGATCCTCCTACCTCAGCCTCCCGAGTAGCTGGGACTACAGGTGTATGCCACCATGCCCAGCTAATTTTTTTGTCAGAATTCTTTCAAACCCCAGATTTTTAGTTGGGCATGGTGGCTCATACCTGTAATCTCAGCATTTTGGGAGGCCGAGGAGGGAGGATTGCTTGAACCCAGGAGTTAGAGATGAGCCTGGGCAATGTAGTGAGACCCTGTCACTATAATGAAGAAAATAAAATAATTTTTAAAAACACGAAATTTTTGGTCTTTGGCATACCCCATTAGAGGTGGCCTCCTATAAGCAGGTGGGCATGTAAGTGTGTGCGAATGTGTGGGGGCTGATATGGAATAGAAGCTTGAGACCCTGGTGCTCATTCATTCACTCAACATATATTCATTCAACACATCCTGGATGCACTTTTTTAACTATAGGAAAGAGAGTACAGGACAAAAATGCTGGCCAGATGCGGTGGCTCACACTTATAATCCCAGCACTTTTGAGACACCAGTGTGGGCAGATCGCTTGAGTCCAGGAGTTCAAGACCAGCCTAGGCAACAAGGTTTCTACCAAAAATATAAAAATTAGCCAGGCATGGTGGCATATGCCTGCAATCCCAGCTATTCAGGAGGCTGAGGTGGGAGGATCCCTTGAACCTGGGAGGCAGAGGTTGCAGTGAGCTGCAATCGTACCACTGCACTCCAGCCTGGGCACAGAGTAAAACCCTATAGTATGCAAGAAGGTGGTGGGTGTTATGGAAAAAAAGAAAACCCAGAGAGGGAGAGAGGAGTGTCGGGGGAGAAGGGCTTCCATTCTAACTAGCATGGACAGGTTGGCCTCACTGAGAAGTCACCATTTGAACAAAGACCTGCAGGAGGCAAGGAAGTGAACAGTGCAGACGTCCGGGAAGGAGCGCTGTGGTAGAGGGAAGGGTCAGTGCCAAGGCTCTGAACAGAAGTATGGGTGGCTGGAGGAGCTGCACCTTCTGCAGAGTCCAGTCTCCTGAGCTGGGGAGGACTGGGGTCTAGTGGGGGAAGACTGAGATTAGCCAAAGAATCATCAAAGTAAAAATGAAATTACACCTTTGAGAAGGATCAGGAATGATGATGACGTGGGCTATGTGAATATGTCCCTGGGAAGACCTGGTCAGGGCATGAGGGAGAGCTTCCTGGAGGAAGAAACAGTCTGAGAGGGGTGAGGTTAGAGCATGGGTTGGCCAGGAAAGCACAGTTACTGAGGAGCCATTGGTGGGGCTCATTTACCAGGCACTGTTCCGTCCCACCATGGGATGCCCCATACAGCCCTCCTTACAGACACAGGAGCACAGACGGGATTACTCATGGCTGGCGTTCTGCCAGATCGGGGTAACTAAAAGTCAGAAGGGGCAGAGGAATTTCGGGTTTGGGAGTTTACTCGGGCTTGTCTTCATCTCATCATGCACACACAGGGACTGGCATTTGTATGGTTACTGGGGGGTAACCAGGCAGGCAAGGCAGCTCTGAGCTGTGGGGACACTGAGCTGGCAGGGCACCTGCCCTGCTTGTAATGAGTTTGTGGCATTCCAAGTGCTGCCAGCCCCCCAGTCAAGCTCTGCCCCTGCCTTTCTTGTTCCCTGGCATTTCTCCTGGAAATCAGAATGATGTTTGGCACACAGCAGTGGTGTAATAAGTCTGTTCTGAATGGCTGAAGATTACGGAATTCAGAGAGGTTTCAGGACTTGAACCCATGATTGTCTGTTGAGGCTGAGAATGCAGTTGTGGATGCCAGCCTGAGTAGGTCTGAATCCAGCCTAGCCGCAATCTCTATCACTTAAAAACAAGTTGTACAAACATGGACAAGTTGCTTATGTTCTCCAAGCCTGCTTCCACCTCAAAGGGCTGTTGTGAGGAGTAACTTAATGTTTATGCAGCTCTTAGAATCTGCTCTGAGCACTGCTGTGACTAGGATTGCTACATCCTGCCCCTCCAGCTCGGGTCATCCTCACAGTATCCTTGGGCCAGGACTGGAGACAAAACAAACCATCAGCTTGGACAAAGCCAGGGTGAATCTACACAAGGAACCCAGGAGGAAAGTCTCCCAAGGAAATCTTACAGAGCAAAGGCCTGGTGTCCAGAAACTGGGAAATATTCAGAAGACTCTTGGCTGGGCATGGTGGCTCACACCTGTAATCCCAGCACATTGGGAGGCCAAGGTAGGTGGATCGCTTGAGGTCAGGAGTTGAAGAACAGCCTGGCCAACATGGCAAAACCCTGTCTCTACTAAAAAAAATACAAAACTTAGCCGGGCGTGGTGGCACACACCTGTCATTCCAGCTACTCAGGAGGCTGAAGCAGGAGAATCACTTTAACCCGGGAGATGGAGACTGCAGTGAGCAGAGATCTCACCACTGCACTCCCCAGCCTGGGCAACAGGGCAAGACTCCATCTAAAAAAAAAAAAAAAGACTCTGGGTTATCATCAGAAGAGTCAGCCCCATTGGGAAGAGGCTCCGGAGAGAGGCTGCTGGTGCTGCTGCTGCCTCCAGCAGCACCAAGTGCTGGCCCCATGATTCTGGGCCCTCCAGCGCCTCTGCCTCGAGAGGAGAATATGAGCCCATGCCTTCCTCCCAAGCTGCTAGAGCCTGGCATGAGATAATGGATGTGCCCACACTGCCAGGCACTGTGCACAGATGAGGGACCAGGTCTTTTGAGTCTGCAGGGCTGGAGGTGGAGGGGAGATGGGATGAATTTTTTTAAACCCACAGTGAGGATGGGAAGGGAGAAGTTCAGACGTGTTCACCAAAACCTGGCACACTGGAATTACAGGCCCCCTTGGAGCTCAAGTGAGGTAAGTTTAGGACAAATCAAAGGCAGTGTGCTTCACCCAGCAGGGGAGGACACTGATGGAACTCATTACCCCAAGATGTCGTCTCAGCTGGAAATAGAAACAGCTTCACAAAAGATTTAGATACATCCATGGATGATGGCTCCATTCATGGGTTAGAAGGGGAAGGGGGCTGTTTGAGGCCTGTCCCCCAGGGCAGGCATCAGGAAGGTGGCTTGGTCTCCCTAGCACCCCCCTTTGCACTCCTGTTGGAGGCAGGCTTCTGGCAACACGGACCCCAAGAGGCAATGTGGAGTCCCGTAAGTTAGAGCCTGGCCTGTGTCCCTGGCCTTTCCTCAACCTCTCCAACACTCAGAATCCACTGTTTGGGAGAGAAAAGGCGCCACCAGCTTCAGGGAAAGCGTCCTGGCTGGGCTGTCCCCTAAGAGACCAGCAGAGGGAGACAGACACCGTGTCCAGTCCCAGCTCCGGGAACAGAGACCTTGATGATCCACCTTGGGCAGGCCTCTGTGGAGGCAGTTTTGTGCTGTTTTGCTGGGTGGGACAGAAGGGGACAGAGAGGGCATCCTCCCAGGCTGAGACAGGCCTATTACAGGGGAGATAGGGGCAGGGAGGAGATTTTTGGGAACGAGGGGCAAGGTGGGGAGGGAGCTACTAATTAAGAACCGGGTACTCCAGAGCCAGGCTGCCTGCCTGTGTACTTTGGACAAGTTATATAACTCTGTGCCTCAGTTTACCCATGGTACAATGGCAACTACAACAGCACCAGCCTCAGGAGGGCCACGTGAGATTGCGTGCCATATTCAAATGCTTCACTGCAGAGACAGGGAATTGGGAAGAGCTCAGTAAACAGGAGTGACAGCCTACACTGTGGGGAGATCAGAGGTCTCTCCCATCTCCTTAAGCTCTGCAGCTTGCAAAGCCCTTTTGCTTTATTATCTCATCTGGGCCTCACTGAACTCTGGAGGTCTGGTGAGGCTAAGAGGCTCACTTTTTTTTTTTTTTTTTTTTTTTGGAGACAGGGTCTCACTTTGTCAACCAGGCTGGAGTGCAGTGGCTCAATAGCTCACTGCA